GAAGTAGACCTCGCCATCCATGTTGTGATAACCTTAATTTGAGTAGCCAATGATAAATTATGATGAGCAATGTTCATTTCTTTGCGTAAAGAAAAATTCCATAGCGAATTGTTTCATCAGTGCTATCTGCTCGATCTTTAAAGATTTAAGATTCTTGAAATTGTTCTCCGAACTCTATCTCATATCTTGGATTAGAGATGGACTCATACAACCTCCATCATAAAATTGAACGTTACGACCTTTTGGGTATCCTCAGATGTTCGCTTGCGTTGAAGGTTGCCTCGTCAGGTAACTCACTCACGCCCAATTACGCTTCATGTAAAAAGTATGAGGGACCCTCTTATAATTTCGATGATAAAGTTGAACTTTACGACCTTTTGGGTATCCTCAAAAGCTCCCTTAAGTTGAAAGGTGCTTTGTCATGTAACTCACTCAGATTATTTCATCTAAAAACAGTTTCAATACCAGCTGAGTGTAGCCCTTTGCAATACCAAGAACTTAATGAATCAGACAGATACTGGAAACATTCCCTAAGCCCTTTGTCCTGCGATAAATCTAAAATTGTAAGTGGTCAGTGGTACCGTTTCACCGGGGCCGCTGGTACAATGATGGCGCCCTACTGCATTCCAAAACGGAGATGTAATACCCACGCAGTCGGCTGGATCAGCGGTAGGCATCCCTCCGAGGCTTACGAGTTGGTGACGGCAAAGGCGTGTTTTCATTGGAATTCAGATTGCTGTTTGTGGCATAGACCGGTTCAGATACGAAATTGTAGCGGATACTATGTTTATGAGTTACAAGAGTGGAATCATTGCTATCACCGTTACTGCGGTGTGAAAGGTTTGTACCTTTATTTTTACGTAAGTGACAAAACCATTAGTATTTTCGATTGAAACCAACATCAGGTTACTGAGAAAATAACTCAAATTGGGGAAGTGGAATTTTCTTATGAGATTGCAATTAAGCTGCAAGAACCAATGAACTTACCGTGCATGATTAGATTTAGTAACTTTTGTGTTTTGCTACAGACCAGGTCTTAAATGCTAAAAAGCATTTTTTCCTCTTTACCTTTGCTAAAGCACATTGTGCCAGAACGAGACATAATATATTATAAACTGTTGTGAATTAAAGCAAAAGGGAATTGGGCCAAGTGCAGTCAAGTAGAAGTTTGGGAACTTCAAAATAAAAAACGGAAATAGAACTCTCTTGATGAAAAGATATTTAATGTTGGGCGATCTTTTCTAAACACTAATCAGGAAAAATTACTTACATGATATTTCTAGACGAAAGCGAAGCATGTCACGTAATTGGTGGTTCCGAAAAGTGTATTTGTCAAAAAGGTTATGAAGGAAATCTATGCGGCGGTGAGTGTCTGAGCAAGTTTTCATTACGAACATAGGTAGAATTTATCCATTTCTTGCAACCAGATTGTGTAATGATAGTTCATGCTTTTTTCATTATCAATTTCGATCATTGTAACGCTTTTCTTTATTGGCTTTCCTAATCACAACCAGTGGATTAGTTACAATGTACACCCAAACATTCGAGTAATCCCTCAATACCACCCAACTGCAACAACTTTTTAGTTACTCATTGAATGTCCTCTTGAGCGTATGGTAATGCCTTTGTAAGAGTAAGAGTCGCTCGAGGCGATAGCCGAGAGCGACTCTAGCTTCTTGAGTGCTTAGCAAACCTCCCAAGTGCATCCATAACTCAATAGTGTACGCTGTGGTGTTTACCATTTGTTTTATAACATAACATTGATACATTGTAGCTAAAGAGTTCCCTTTTATTTAACAAATCTTACG